GACAAATTCTTTGTTGTTGTTGTTGTTTCAGAGTTTTCAAATAGTTTTTCAAAATAAATGCATCAAGAAGTTTGTTTTAACAGGGAGAGGGTGTTTGGACATGGTGTGATGCTAATGTCACCCTTCTTGGTAAGATCAATGCTTCTGTCACTCTCAGATCATCTACCACTAGGCTTTGAAGCATTTGTAATTTGCAAAATGTAGTTCCTGTAATGAGCAGAAGAGCCTCAAACAAGAGAACTGCCCTTAGATAAGACAACCCCAAGATGGACATTGGTAAATGGGATGATGGTAGCAGGAAAAAAGACAAGAGACACAAGGGAAGGTGGGAAGCAATGTTACCCAGGACCCTCCCTGCCCAGCACCCTGGGCATGCTCATATCTCAACTCCAAAGGAGCCATCGCCATCTCCTTAGGTGACTGTGGGGTGCTTTGTAGCAGCTGAAGCTTGGCTTCCTACGTAGCCTGCTGCTGCTGGCTCTGCTGTTGGCCACCCCTGCTGAAGTCACTGTTCTCTGGGCCCAGGCCAGTGCTGAGCATAGCACCCAGGGAGAGGCCAAGGAAAGACTCACAAGTCAAGAAAACACCTTCTTGTGCCTGTGTTTAGTGGCCTTTAAAAAAGCAGCTGTGCAGTGGCTTGTCCTATTTCTTTCTCTTTGTCTGTTTTTTTGACACAGGGTTTCTCTCTGTAGCCCTGGCTGCCCTGGAACTCGCTCTGTGGACCAGGCTGTCTTCGAACTCGGAGATCTGCCTGCCTCTGCCTCTCAAGTCCTGAGACTAAAGGCGTGTGCCACCACCATCCTACTCACATATTTTGAGAGCATTCAAAACCTAGACATCCTGTGCGTGTTTGTTGCAGGGAAGACCTATCTCTGCAGACTTCCCTGACACTCAGAAGCACAGCATTAGTTATCATCATGGCCTCCTTTTCCTGTCAGCTAGCTGGGAGCTCTGCAGGGCTGGATCAGATCCCTCACTACTGATGTGCAGGCTGCCTTTCACACCCTAGCAGGCTGGCCACCAGAGGAATTAAGCAGAGTAGCTGGGAAATACGCTGTCCTGCTTTCCTGCCAAGGCAGCACAGGCCTGGTCTCCTGGTTTTTTATGCCAGGACTAACAGAGAGAAAGTGTCACTGGCGCTTGACCAGTATCAGGTGGCTCTGCCTTAATGAATTGGCTACAAGCAAACAGAGTTTTGCCCATCAGCCTCCACTATCTTTTTCTCTGCAAAAAATGCAGTTGTTTTTCCAGGCATATCTTTTCAGAAAAGCCATCTGCTGCTTCCGTCTTTTCTACCTGATAGTGAGGGCTCTGCTCTCTGCAACCATCCCTGGCTTGCATGTCCTGCCCAGCATCAAACAGTGCTTGGCTAAGGACCGACCCTCCTGAGCAGATCAGAACAGATAGGTGAAGGCCAATTTCTCAGATCCCAGTGTTATACAGGCCAACCTGTGTCACCCCACCACCAGCAGGATGTTAGGGAGGTGGTCTCTGTCCCTTCAGTCAGAAAGACCGCAGCAGCATTTCCTGTCAGTTTAATGAGGTGACCCACACCAGCACTCTGAGCGTCACTGCCCAGGTCCTCAGGTGTCCCTTGATACTCTTCTACACTGGAGCCAGAGCCTCTCTCCTAGTGCTCATTTACTCTAGCACCACTATATCCCCTGGAAGTGTGCAGCTCTCAGACCGAAGCCCTGAGTGTTCTAGATCATCAATCCAAACAGCCTCTCTCAGGCTATAAATACAAATTCCTGCTGCATAAGGATCTCCGAGGCAAAACCAAGCGCTCCCCAGATCCAAAATAGACTGCAGGCTGCCGTTGGGCGGAGGCTGTGAGATGGCCATCTGTGTGCCCTTCTCCTAGCCCTGAGATGAGCATGAAGCTGAAGGGCCTGACAGATCCAGGGCTCTGTGGAAACAGTGTGATCTTGAGCTCAGGCCCCAGCATAGTGTCTGGAAATCAGGAGAGCCACCCAGGGCAGCCCAGGGCCAGCAGTGCTTTATGATGATTGGAGAGCCTGCCCTGGCACCTCCAGACCTTGGAAAGGTACTTTTCAAGCTTGGCTCTTGTCCCAGCATGACTGCATAACTGGAGTGCCTGAGCAGGCCCCTTTGTCTCAGAAACTGCTCCTGCGTCTTCCTTTCCATTGGTTCCTCCCCACTCACAGCTGAGATGCAGCCATGGGCCTGACAATGTCTAGATATGGTAATTAATAATAGAATCAGACATGTGTGACACACCTATCACCCCAGCTGATGGGAAGGGTGAAGCTGGAGAAGTATAAGTTCCAGCCCAGCCTGAGCAACATAGCAAGGGATCCTTTCTCAAAAAAATTAAAACTGGGGCCGGAGAGATGGTTCACAGCTTAAGAGCGCTGGCTGTTCTTCCAAAGGTCCTGAGTTCAAGTGCCAGCAACCACATGGTGACTCGTAATCATTTATAGTGAGATCTGGTGCCCTCTTCTGACCTGAAAAGGCACAAATGCAGGCAGAATGCTGTATAAATATTAAGTAAATAAATCTTTAAAAAAAAAAAAAAAAACGGCTGGAGAGATGGCTCAGCAGTTAAGAGCACTTGTTCTTGTAGAGGTCCTGGGTTAAAATCCCAACACCCACGTGGTAGCTCACAACTGTCCATAACTCTAGTCATAGGGGATCCAACACCCTCTTCTGGCCTCTGCAGGCAAACACTCATACACATAAAATAAATAAAATCTCAAAAAAGTGCATGCAACTATTTAAAATATCTATTTAAAATAAATAGATAAATAAATAAAAACCGTATCTAGAGGTGGTAGTACACAGCTACACTCATGAGACAAGACAGCTCAGCAGTAGCCAGGCATGGAGGCTCATGGGAACACATGGGAGGCTGGGATTAAAGGAGGCAGACAGATCTCTGTGAGTTCCAGACAAGTCTGGTCTGCATAGTGAGTTCCATCCAGGTCATCAAAGACTACATAATGAAACCCTGTCTCCCCAACCCTGCACCTCAAAAAAAGATGGCTCATCAGATAAACGTACATGTTACCAAGCCTGATGACTTGGGTTGCATCCCCAGGACCTACATGGTAGAAGGAGAGAACCAATTCTGACCTCCACAGATATTCCGTGGCATGCTCATACTTAACACACATGCATAAGTAAATGAAATTTTTAATTTTAAAAAGTATAATAAGTCTATTCCTAAGCATCTGTTGGTCCAGCAAACTGTGTTGCTTCCTGTGAGGAATCACAGTCCTAGCATTTAGAGTGATTTCTACTCTGTTCTTGGGGGCAGAAGAGGACAGGGCAAGTGATGGGAGCCCTGCTGGATATCCACACCAGTCCCTCCTGAGAGCAGACTCCTTGAGGTCCATGCCTGGATTATGCTGCTGCTCAGTTTGTGGCCTCAAGGTACAAAGCTTCTGTTGGGCCTTTTGTACCAGCCATGCTAAGAACTGACAGGAGATTGTCACACTGATTGGCTACAACTGTCCTTTAAGAGAAGGTTTTTCCTTTTCACCCTTTTGGCAGTAGGGGATGGAGTGGGGAGTGTTTGTCTTTTTGAGACAGGGTCTGTCTATATAGCCCTGCGTGTCCTGGAACTCACTCTGTAGATTATGCTGTCCTGAAACTCACAGAGATCTGCCTGCCTCTGCCTCTTGAGTGCTGAGATTAAAGATGTGTGCCACCATGCCTGACACAATAAATGTGTAGTCCAGGCTGGCCTCAAACTCGTGATCCTCCTACTTCTACCTCCTTTAGTAAATCTAATTGGCATGCATAACCACAACTAGCTCACCTCATTTTAAAGATAAAGAGACTGATCCACAAGAACTTTATTTGTCCAAAGTCACACAGATGGAAGAGTAACACTTTGTGGATACCCTGTATAGGGGGAGGAAGGTCAGAGGCTCTGCAGCCTGTGTTGAGACTCACAGCTGACCCAGAATCAAAGAGAATGAGGCCAGCATAACCTTCAAAGGCCTCCCTCTAGGTCCCTCAGCATTATGGAACAGCACCACCAGCTGGAAGCAAGGTTCTGATTCAAACACAAACATCTCCATTCAGTTTGAAACTTTGTTTCTTCTTCCTTCCTCTATTTCCATGGGTTCTGAAAATCCTGTACCACAGAGAAAGTACTGAACCCTGTGTGAGCTGAGTGTACATTTCAGTTGGCACCTATGATGGGCATATGAGGCTGGCAGGAATTCCAGGTGTCCCCTTCTCACACTGTACTCCCAGGTCCTGTGCCTGTTAGCAGTGTATTGGCAAGTGTCTTGCAGGTATGATGGCATTACACAATCCTCAGCTCAAGGACTTGGAACATGGTCCTTGGGCCTAAGAAGCTATGAAGACTTGGGAACATCTCTCAGTCTGCCATCTGACTTTTCTGTCAAATGAGAAATTGGAGGAGTCATGCCTGTAGCTCTTGGGTGACATCAGAAGGGTTGTGAAATCACTGCATTTGTTAAAAATTACAAAGAGCAAGGATGGTGGGGGTTGGAGGATCAGATCAGAGAAACCGTTAGTTTCTGCAGCTCCTGTCCGTCTCGAAAACAGCTTGAGATACATTCAGTATTTAAAAGATGGTATGTTTGTCTTTTAAGGGGTAAGCCAGAATAGTCCAAAAGATCCCAAGTGTTCAGCCCTGGCGTCCCTGAAAGGTGAGGTGATGGTAGAGGTTTGTTTCTACAAAACAAAAGCACAAAGCAAAAGCACATGTGGTTCTGAGCATGGAAAGAGGGAGGGATGTCCCGTCCTTGGACACCAGAAATCCACCGTCCACATCCTGCTGTTCAGATAGTGTTGGTCAGTTTCCATCCTAAAGGTCCCTTTTTGGAAGCAGTGTAGGCACGGGAGTCTGTAAAAGGGGTTGCCTGGCATGGCCAACAGCCCCCACTAGGAAAGATAAAACAGATCAGCAGTGCTGAGCCACCGTTAACCTAACCACCTTTTCTCTTGTCTGTTTTCTCCTTCCCACATTCTTGTTTGTGTTTTCTGCCTGGGTTCTGTAGTACAAATCTGTGTTTAGGTCTTACTCCCAGGACTTCATGCCTCACCACCAAGCCTCCGTCCAACCTTTCCTTCCGCCTACCTCCTCTTCCTCTCCACATTTCCCATCTGTCCACGCGTCCCAGAGCTCGGACTTAGCGGTGCCCACCGTAAGCAGTCCACCTCCCAGCACCGTGGACGGGCCTCTCTCATCTTCTCAGGACAGCAGCTTTCATGGGAACCCTGTCCGCCTTCCTTCCGAAACCTCTTTCACTGACTCGGTGAGCACTCAGCATACATATGTCTGCACACTGGCCTGCAGGATTTTAGAAAAAATGATGCTGCTCACAAAGGGCCTTGTCCTCCCTCCTGAGGCCCAGTCTGCTGCTGCTGTGAGCCCACTCAAGGCATGACTGGATTGGCAGCCATGGGGGCCTTGGATGTAGTAGTGATCTGCCTGTTTCCAGGGCAGAAATCAAATCTTTTATATAGATTTTCCACCACACTGGGAGTTGGGCTAGTGTCCATTTAGAACAGTAAGTTGTCACAAGGATAAGATATGAGCTTTCTGGTTTATGTCTGTGGAAGGGTCCAGACTCTCATGGAGTGGAAGAGACAGAGGTAAGGTTGCTTGTAGGGCCCATGCAAGAGCCCCTGTGCTTTATCAGAACACAGGGAAGAACTACATTATAGAGTGGAGGGGACAGATAGATGGGCAAAGGGGGTCTATCAGGCAGAGACATTTCTTCGTATCTTGACTTGTCCAGTATGTTGCTTCTTGCCCCTGCTCTGGGGGTGCTGGCAGGCCCTGCTACAAATGAAGCAACTTTGTGGGAGTTTGCAGAATGGTTCTAAGCACTTTGGAGAGAAGATCCAGCAGGAGCCTGGGGCCTGGCTAGCCCAGGGGCAAGAGGTAGTGAGAGGGCTTTGCCCTCAGCACTGGGGAAACACTTCCCAGGGATAACTTATGAAATTACTTTCTAATTCAGGCCTGTCCTTCAGCTGCTCTCTCTAAGCTGTGGAGCTGACCAGAGGGCCTGGCCCATTTCTTTCCTTTTACCCTGTCTCCCCCTAGAGTGAATACGCCACCAGTGAGGAAGCTGGTGGCGGTGAATATGTCAATTTGTACTCCTCTGGCCAGACCAGCGAGGAGCTGGCTCTCTCTCGAGGAGTAAGTAACCTCGGGTGGGTGGCCTTCTGCATGGGCGGCACTGCCTCCAAAGGTCGCTTTCCTTGCAGCTGCTTTTACTGGCTGAGCCCGTGTAAGCCTGCTGGGAGCCAGCCCATCTATGGGAGAGAATATGGCTTCCACGTAGAGGTCTGCCCTGCTTTTGCTTCTGTGAATGTGGCACTTTTCAGAGCCTGGCTTGAGTGAACCCACTGGACCCTGGCCACAGCCCCAGCTACTCCCTGGAATTTCTTCTATTCATCCTACTAGTGCTGATGCCCTCCTCCAAGAGATGCTTTTACTCCTGCCCTTCAGTTCCTCCCAGCATGACCCACTGCCCTCCACTGCTCCCAAGGAAGCAGGGCAAGTGCTAGGAGCCCTACTGGATATCCACACTAGTCCCTCCTGAGAGCAGACTCCTTGAGGTCCATGCCTGGATTGTGCTGCTGCTCAGCTTGTACCCTCAAGGTGCAAAGCTTCTGTTGAGCAGGTGGCTTTCCAAGTTTGGCTTCAGCAAAATGGAGGGAAATTGAGATGCTTTAGAGGTCACTATCCCTGTGAGACCAAATGAGAAGTTTCTCTAGGAGATGAGGTCAGAGGTCACTGTCCCCAGGAGACTGAATGAGAAGTTCTAGGCAATGAGGTCAGGTCTTCAAGGACTAGAATCTCCACCATGGATCTGCACTAGCAAGCCCAGCCTAACATCATGACCATCCATATGAATAGCCATGCTGGGGAGTCCCTAGGGCTTTCAGATGTCCATGCTAAGGCAGCCGCCCCCACACCAGGTGTCAGCAGAGCACAAGCTTTCTCTCCATGTGATTTGGTACTGTTTGTGAGAGCTGGTGACCTGTGTCACCAGCATCATCCACCTCCGAGTATACTTTAGGGAGTTGGTGCCCAGGCCCCATGGCCCTCCCTCTGCCAGTGGGCATCCTACAGTGCCAGCCCCACTGTGGTGTGTGTTCTCCCTGCTGATAGTCCCTGTACTCACAAGGCCCTTCTTCGCTACTACCGCCATGACAGCCCAGGGACACTGGATTATACTGTCAGTGGACGTGGAGGCAGCAAGTCTGCCCAAGGGAGTTCACATCTGCATGTCTGAGCACCTGGACTCCTTGAAACTGTCACCAGTTAAGCATCGTGACTCTGTAGGAAGTCAGGGAATTTGGGGGACAGTGGTGAAAAATACAAACTTTGGAGGCAGATAGCCTCCAGAGGGTTCAAATCTACTGTCTGTCATTTGACTTCCTTGTATTCAGTTTCTGTAGGGAGTGGAGGGATGGTGGTGGTCACTTATTGATAAGAATGAAGAAGTGGGGTGCAGAGCACTCAGCATAGCACCCCACACTCAGAGAGAAGCACCTGTGACTTCCTTCAGGAAGTGGATATGGTGTGTGGACCCAAGCTGACAGGTGACAGGAATGGCACCTCCATTCTCAAAGGCAGGTGTTGGTCTCCAGAGGGCTTGTGTTTCTGGTAATTAAATCCATTCATCATTAATTTGTTCCCACCTCCAGCTGCTCCATAGTGCTAAGAAAACAGATTGCCCCAGCATGGGCTGCCTGTCCAACATCCCCCTCCCCCACATTCCTTCTCTTTGCAGGAACCACCATCTGGGAAAGACGGGCATCCCAGAGATCCCTCGGTCAGTGCATCTGGGAAGGACAGCAGAGAAAATGGGGAGAGGTAAGAAGTGAGCAGGAAGTGTCTAGGACCCAGGAACAGTGGCCTTCTCCTCCTTTCCCCTCCTCCTCCTCCTTCTTCAGACAGGGTTTCTCCGTGTAGCCCTGGCTGTCCTGGACTTGCTTTGTAGACCAGGCTGGCCTCAAACTCACAGAAATCTGCCTGCCTCTGCCTCCCCAAGTGCTAGGATTAAAGGCGTGTGCTACCACACCTGGTAATTTTGGTTTCTTCTAACTTGAGGTCACATAGGAAGTGTAAAAGAAGTTCCCACCCACAAACTTGTCGTTGTGGGCATTTCTAGTTATGTTTTGTTGCTAAGCCATTTTGAAAGAGGTTTACAAGTGTTGTGACCCTAAGCCCACAGTAACTATCATACCTCTTCTGACAAGTGGATAGTGACCCAGTATCACTCTCACACTCGTGTCATCTGGAAAGCAAACCCAGAAATCAGTCTCCCTACCCCCTCCCCAGGATTGAACTAAGGCCTCACAGGTGCTAGATGAATGTTTTACCACCGAGCCACAGCCCTTCCCCCTAAGAGGATCTTATATCATTTTTGGGTTTTATGACCCAAAGATTTGCAGTGCCTTTACACACCTTGTCCCTTCCCTCATTCCCAGTGCGAGTCGGGCTTGCAGAAAGGTAGCTGATTCCCTAAACCACTTAGTGCATCTGAAGGAGCTGCCAGTGAGCACAATCCTGTGTCAGGCCAGTCGGTCTTTTTAAGGATTGACCTTCAGCAATTTGTGTTTTGTTTTGTGTTGTTAAGATATATTTATTTATTATTTATTATACAGCATTCTGCCTGCACATGAGAAGAGGGCACCAGATCTCACTATAGGTGGTTATGAGCCACCATGTGTTTGCTGGGAATTGAACTCAGGACCTTTGGAAGAGCAGCCAGTGTTCTTAACCTCTGAGCCATCCCTCCAGCCCCAGTCTGAATTGTTTTAAAAAGACAAAGACTGCAAGCTATTTGGATAGGCCTATGGGACAGCCACCTCCATCTTGGCTGCTCTTGGATTCTCACTGACATAAGTCTGATGGCACCCCCAAGTGTTACTATACCACTTGGCCAGAAAGGCTTATGTATGCCAAGCAAAATCAGCCTGTGGATTTGTCACTTGGCTTGCTTCACTGGAATTAGGGGTCACATTCAGAGTTGATGTTCAGTCCTGAGGGAAGACTCTCCTAAGAGCTACTCTCAGAACTCAGCAGATTTCTGACAGTGAGATGGGCAGAAAGATGAGTACACTGGGGATCAGAGAGAGCTCCTGGGACGCTGTCTGCCTTGCATAAAGGTCACGCCATCAGCTGGCCTTCTAAGGTAGCAGCAGGCATGACTCTCTCCAAGCCTGGGGTATTGGCACTAGCCCATCATGATCTTACTGAGGGCACAGAGTCCTGCAGCTCAGCTACAGAGAAAATGTACCCTGAAGGCTGGGCAAGAGGCACAGTGGATAAAGGTGCTGCTGCCAAGGTGGGTCTGCTGGAAGGAGAAAACGGATTTGTCCAGAACAAGGGCCTTCCCTCTTGTTTCAGTGTGATGGCTGCCTGTTTTAAAAGCCATCTCTTAGATTGAGCACTTGACAACACGAGGCCGAATCTGCTGGGTCACAGCATTTTCTTACTACTAAGCAGATCTGTAGAGTTTGGGCCCTGAGAAAGGCTTATGGGTAGCATGGAGGAGCAGGTAGCTTCACTTCCCTTCAAGTGCTGCCCCTGTATGTGAGATGGGGCTGAGCAAGCAATGGCTGAAACCATTGCAGATAGGTCAGGGGACCATTTTCACTCAACAGCCTAGTTCTTTTCTCTAAGGTGCAGAGAAAAGTGTTCCCAGGCAGACCCAGGAACTAGTTGTTACCCTGGCTCTGTCCGCCACTGCAGCGTCATCTTATAGTTGCCATTCAGTGCTTGTCTATGAACGGCCTTACATCCTGGCCTATACTTAGACCAATGTCTTAGTTACTTTTTCGGTTACCACATTGGCAGTAACCTAAGGGAAAGGGTTGGTTTTGGTTCACAGTTCGGTGTTATGGTCTGTAGTGATAAAAGTCACCACAGCAGGAACTTGGGCAACTGGTCACTGCATCCAGTCAAGTAGCAGAGAGCAACGAATGCTGGGTCTCAGCTTGCTCTCTCCTTTTTAGAGAGTCCAGGACCTCAGCCCAAGGAATGGTGCCACCCATGGTGAGTGGGTCTTCCCACCTCACCTAACCTAATCAGACACTCGCAGAGTCGGTCTCCTTAAGTTAACAATTATGGTTATCTGTCACTTTTATTGCCTCAGCCTGCGAGCCTCCACGGACTGGAGAACCTGGGGCATGGCTGATACTTTCAACCCCAACCACTTCTTCCCCAGATCCCCAAAGTCACTGGATGCTCTGGAGTCAGCCCAGTCAGAAGAGGAAGTGGATGAACTGTCCCTCATTGACCACAATGAAATTATGTCCAGACTGACACTCAAGCAAGAGGTAAGGGTTCCACAGACCTCTATCTTATAACCATCAAGCAAGAGGGAAGGGAGGGTAGAGAAATGTAGCTTTGGGTGCTCCAATGGGGAGACCTCGGCTCTTGGGGTTCCAGGGGAAAGCTCACTGTCCCTCTCTTGCCATTTCCCCAAAGTGAACTTGGCCCCTGCAGAGCCTCACGTAGGTAGTTCTGAGGGCAGTGTTCAGTGTAGCCTACATAGGAAGCCCTCAGCAGTGTGAGCCATGTATGTGCTATTGATAACACAGCCCCTCCCCCTCCTGGTCTCTGCCTGTAAAGAAAACTGGTACCTAAGCTGGCCAGTAATGAATGGTGCACGCCTTTAATCTCAGCACTTGGGAGACAGAGGCAGATGGATCTCTATGAATTTGAGGCCAGCCTGGTCTATAGAGTAAGTTCCAGGACAGCCAAGGCTACATAGAGAAACCCTGTCTCGAAAAAAAGAAAACTGGGGCCTAGACGCTGAGCTGTGCCTTTTTGTGAGGAGCCCTGTTGATAAGAATAACACCCAGCCATGTGAAAGAGGAAGAAGGCTGGGCCCAAGAGCCTTGTCTCTTTGTACATTTATAGAAACTTAGGGTTTACTTGAACATCTTCAGCCCTGAATAGCTGTGCATCTGGGAACTGATTTGATGGTTGTAACATACAGACGTAGGACAGGTACTGTGTTATGTATGCTCCTGGGCCAGCCTGAGTGGATTCCTACCAACCCAGAAAGACATCAGCACTTCAGGTCATTGGGCTGCAGGTAGGCAGAGCCTCTGCAGAAAGAAAAGCTAAATTCCTTCTGGAAAATCAGATCATAAATGTAGCCAACCTGTTTAAGTTAGAAAATCCAGAGCACTCAGACCCCTGGAGTCCAGATGAAAATGGATGCATATAGGATATTGGCTCTGTGTCCCTCAGAGTCACAGTGATTCCATTTCCAGCCCTACCTACAGCTCTGTCACTAGACCAGATCAAAGCTTGTTTGACTATGGGAATAGAGTTGGTCTCCCACTAGCAGGCTAGGTTTGGTTGCCATGTAAGTATCAGATGTCACAAGTAGTCTTGGGATGTTTTACACTCTTCTAGAGAAGTTCCCAGAAAAACCTGTGGGATGATGCATTCCCACAGATGAACCCTACTTCCACCTTGAAAAGGGCCTAAGCTCAAAGGTGGCTTGCTGCAGGTGGGGAGCAGAAACATGCTTGGACACCATCTTCCTATCTCCCGGGCTAAGAAGCTGCCTCTCTCCTCTGGAATCTTACCTTTCAGTATGAGCCAGGAGGTAGAGGTGAGGTTGAAACCATAGTGCCCTGACCCCATGTGGCCTCAGGAAGGTGATGTACCCTGGTGCTCACAATATATGGACAGCTTCCTTGGTGCCCAATGTCGTGTAAGAGTGCTGACCAGTATCCATCTACAAAGTCTGTGGCAGCAGGTGGGCCGCAGAGGCTGTCTGGTGGATACAGTGCTGCCTGCTGCTGCTGAGCTGAGGACAGAGGAAGGGACTCAGGGTCCCTGAACCATGGTGAGTTTGTCCCCTCAGCCTTGCTTCATGCTCTTTTTACCCCAGGGTGACGATGGGCCAGATGTTCGCGGAGGTTCGGGAGACATCTTACTGGTCCATGCTACTGAGACAGACAGAAAAGGTATGGCAGCTTTCACTGTTCTGGTTTTGTGTCCCATCAAAGGCATCACATGACCCTACCCAACTGTCACCTCTATGGCAAACACTGTGACTGGGTTGGACTTTGGGCTTATGGTACCAGGTCAGAGGAGGGAGAGGCCACCTCAGGAGACCCTGTCAAAGTTCCACCTGGGCATGTCCTCTCTTGGAGCAAGGTGACCTTGGCCCTATCGGCATCCTGAGGGTAAGCACAGTCCTAGGTACCTGGTGTGTGCTCCAAGGACAGCCCACTGGATAAGGACACGTTCAACAGTGGTGTTAAAGCTAAAGCAGCCATAGTGGCATACCTATAATCCTGGCACTCAAAAGCTACAGGGGAGTCTGGATTCAGAGTCAACTAGGGCCACATAGCAAGACCTTTTCAAAGAAAGAAAGAAGGGAGGAAAAAAAAAAGCCTTTTACGATAGCACATGGCCAGTCTCTTCTACCTTTCCATTTATTAAGTCCTTCTTTTCTACAATGTATTTAGTTTACGTAGACAACTAAGTTTCTAGGAACAAACTTTGTTGTCCAAGAGCTGCCCCAACCTTGCCATCCCCTCTGCATTCTGATATCTGAGAGGGCTGAGCAGCATGGGCCGTCTCTTTACCTGGAAGCACTTGTTAAATGTGCCCTACTAGCAGAAGCACTGCCCATCCCATCAAGAGCCTGGGCCTCCCTGGAGTTTGCCTCAGAGGAAGGTGCCAATGACCCAGATCAAGCAAAACCTCCCTCTGCCCTGCCTCTTCCCAGTCATTTTCTTACTTTTCTTTTCTTTTTTGAGACAGGGTATGTGTTCCAGGGGGCCTCTTTCTACATAATTTTTAAAGGACTTAAAAAGGGGCAAAGCATGCCCACACATGCTTTTAATCTGAGGATTTGGGAGGCAGGTGGATCTGTGAGATTCCAGGCTGTCTGGAAAGATCATTGTCACAAAATAACAAAAAAAGGAGTTAGGGATATGGCTCAGTGATACAACACTTGCCTAGCCATTAATCAATCTCCAGCACTGGTGGGGGGGGGGGGGAAGAGAGAAAAAAAAAATACTGAAAAGTTGATTAAGCTATGGGTGAACTCACTCTTGACTTAAAACCCTAACCAAATCAAGTGTGTGTGTGTGTGTGTGTGTGTGTGTGTGTGTGTGTGTGTGTGTG